GTAAATTATGTGTGAAAATATATTATTAGTTGGAAAAATAAATATGAAGGTCACTTAAATTATAAAACATGAGGTTAAGCTCTCCTTTTTAAATTTAATTGGCACTTTTTAATTGAATTTATTTATTTGTCCATTTATATATTTCTGCTTTTTTTTCTAGTTATGTCAGTGTCAGTCCTCCATACTGCAGAACTTGATAATTCAATGTCTGAATCAGGTGTGTTGGAGCAGGAAAATCATAAAACCTGCTGGGCTGCGGCCCTCAAGGACCAGGATTGCCCACCCCTGCTCTCGTGTGATACCTACATTTACACACTATCTTTGTCTATCCTTTTCCTGATGGTAGCTAATCTGCAGGAGAAGCTAACGGACTTCCTACCCAAGCTACTGGACTGCTCGACAGAGGTCAAAAGCTTCCATGACTCTCCCAAACTGCCCAGCTGCTCCACCCTGGAGCTATGTGAGCGATTTGGCCGCATCATGGCCGCCATCAGCAGGGCTCCCGCTGAAGGAAGATGAGCTGAGAGGAGCCGGCGCTTTCCGTGGCAGACCCAACTCCAGTCCTCGCCGCCTTCATCAATCCAGGACTCACCTGGTCCTTGGTGTTATTCCTCTGTTACTTTTTTTCTGCTGTATTATTATACGTGGATTATTATTACTTTTTTTTTTACTTTTCTTTAATGCAAAACACAACAGAGGAAGGTTGTGGAGCAAGATCAACGGTAGTGAAAGAAGAGGTGGTGTGATGAGTGTGTGGATGAACTGCGGCAATGAAATCAATCTCATTCTGCTTCAACTTTAAAAACACATCAACAAGTTTAGGGTTTTATATAGTTTACTGTTGTTTTTGTTCAATTCTTCTCCAGCCACACATATAGTTTGTTCTGAACTCCCTACCTGACTGTGATGGTTCTGCCACCAGTTTGATACAGTATTACCATGTTTTATTTTTCTAAGAAAGTAAGAACGAGAGCCTTGAACTTTGTCAGTGGCTCTGYGGGTCTCGTATGTGTCTCGTGTCTTTGTGAACTGTGCAAGAACGAGATGTTTTAGGTGCTGTGGTCGAAGGCCATGCACTTCCTGTGGCTTGTTAATAAACTGAAAGAATAAAGTTTTATTTATGGCCCTTTTAGGCCAAGTACAACACTTGCTTTGCCTCATGTCTGTTACCACAACCCTCCAAACTTTAGTGTTTAGCATTTAGCCGATTAATAGATCAGTCATCCTCGTACATTTGTACCGCTTATTGTTTGTCGGGTCGTGCAGGCTGCAGGTCTAGGAGAGAAACTCAGACATCCCTTTCCCCAGCAACACTTTCCAGCTCATCCTGGGGGACCCTGAGGCTTTCTCAGGCCAGAGAGGATACGTACTGTAACCCCTCAATGTTCTGTGTCGTCCCCAGGACCACCTACCAGTGGGCTGTGCCCAGAACACATTTAAAGGGAGGAATCCTAATCAGATACCTAAACCACCTTAAAGGGAACCTATTATGCAAAATTCACTTTTTAAAGCTTTTTTTTACTCATCGTTGGATATGTACTTCTTAAAAAACAGTCCTAGGACCAAAAAAATGCACCCAGGGGCATATTTACTGTAAGTAAATGTATTTTTAATGTATATTAATGACAAGTTTTATACTT